TAATAAACGATGTATCACATATCTGAAGCAACATGTATTCATGCGAGTGTCCTTTTGTATCTAGTGAATTTAGAAAAATAATAAATTGCTTACTAATTCACGTTGAAAGAAACAGATGGATTGAGCCTACTGAAAACAAAGGGAAAAAGTATAACATCCTCTCTTGAAGATATCATTTTGATGTAATGTCATCGCATTGATAAAAAAAAGATACCTCTATTGAATTAAATCATACAATGCGTATTAAAATGCTTTAACAAAAAATTAGATGTTGATTCATTTGAACTATAGCAAAAATAGAGACGAAATAATCAGACTTTAAAAGTGAATGATAGAGTTACTGAGATGCAGATTCATCTGAGTTTAGCTGTGATTTAAAAAGTGTATTTTAGTAAAAACAATAATTAGATAGCATCGTGAATTCTACTTTGGTGTAAACTAATCAATTGTCTTTGCACAGATCCAGGAGCTTAGAATATGGGATGTTAATATAACTCCATGTCGACTACGCTCCATTCTCTCGCTACCACGCCTCCAGTCACTCAGCCTGACGGATATCAGACCAGTTGACATGGACGATGGAGAGACACTGGTATGTATCTTTACTATTCCGAGACTGAAATAAAAATCCCCTTTTTGTTCCAAGCTCAAAAGAAATGGGTTTAGAAAAACAAGACAGACTAAATGTGAATGATAAAGGAATTGCGGAAAGGATAATGCATGTTGCCTTGCTATCAAGTTAAGACGACATACTACGGGCTGTTTAGTAAATCTATGCATGGTTTTATATATCTTTTTTTCCTTCAATTTAGAATGAAGTTTAACCATGCATATTTTATTGAAGCTCGTTAGATATCGATTAATGAATGACTGCCGTAAGCTATTTTCTATATAGTTTTTTGTTAATTATGTTTTTCATCATGAAATGTGTAACTTTCATTAATGTGAAATCATTTGAATGATTTATTTTTTAAGCCTGGCTAAACGAATATCACAATAAAAAAGATTAAAATGAATACTACAATCCCGTTATCTGCCACTGAAAAGGGAGGATAATAACACACGTTATCAAGTTGACTTTGGTCATGTTGCTGGAAACACACAATAATTTTAAAGAAACAATTTACGAACGTTTCAGAAAAAGGGAGAAAAAATAAAAACGTTAAGAAATTTTGAACGTCGATAATGCTAATGATGTGAGAAAACTTGTATTGGCAAAATGATCATGATGTGTTTGTCATACAGGGGGGAAATGCTCTAATTGTTTTGTATCTAAAACAATACCGCAAACACCTTTTCTAGAGTCTTATGATAGACAAAAAAAAATTGTAAAGGGAGGGCAGTACACGTTTAGGCCTAATGAAACAATGTGCTGGATCACTAATATGGAAAACAAAGAGCTATTTTTAATATTTTGGAAAAATAAATCGGTTATAGTTCATATGGAACGGCATCGAATATAAGTGTACTGTCAATGGAAGATTCTCTTTATCATTTATAATCTCGGCATCCAAACGTTTAAAAAATTGTATTGTTTCTCCCATTTTGCACAAAACTATGCGTTTGTTTATTTCTTCTTACTTAAAACTGATGAAAACCCTGTTTTATTATTGTATAATTCGTCGCTGTTTTCACGAAGTGACGGTAGTGAAAAAAAATTGCATTCACTTTGCGTTACGATTTTCCTCACTACCGTCACTTCGTGAAAACAAGGACGAATTGTGGACTATTTACTAAACATGATATGAACAATAACATTACTTTATTAAAACAATTATGAGTCATGTTATGTAATATAATTTCTTACGTTAGTGTTGGTTCCCTTCAAAGCATATTAGTGATCGAGCTTTTTTTCACCGCTGTTGTTTCATGTAGACTCATCAAAATACCTCAGTAGATAAGCTATATGTAGATGGTAAGCATGTGACCAGTCTGTGGAATCTTGGACTTCATACATCATGTCCCCGAGTTCAAAACCTCGTACTTAACTGGTCTGCCAAGGAGAATGTCTCATCAAACATCGTAACGATGGCCTGCTCTCCATTCCATCATCTAACTTACCTTCACATACGGGGAGTGAATAGCACTAGCTTCAATACAACTACCCTGAGTGATCCCTTGTCATTCTGCAAGGCGGTGATAGCATCATGTCCTGGGCTCACCATGCTGTCCATTACCGAAATTGGCCTGTTCAACGAGAAGGCAGCTGAGATTATCCAACTCATGAAGACCCATCCAAACCTGACATTCATAGAGTGAGTCTCATTTTGATTTCCAAGGGTAATGATTGCCACATTATAGTCAAAATCTTACAAATGTACATGTAACAATAATTTATTCCAATCTGGACAAAAAAAGCATATTATGGACTGCCAATTTCACATATTTTCTTTATTTTTCCAATATAATTGATGCCTTATGTTTATCAAAAAGCTAAAGATAACTTGCAAAAAATGTGTAATTGTTAATATCAGGTGGAAAGAAAGGTTTACAAAAATAATGAATCAAGCTTCTTTTCATTAACACATGTCAACACTCTCTGCAAACTCTAACTTAGTCACTGTTTTCAGAGCATTAAATTGAACTGCATTACACAACTGATTCCAATTAAATAAAACCAATGAATATTCATTGGTATCCTTTATTTGTCCATCAATATATGTTACATGTACATGTATACTGTATCAAAATTCAAATACATATATATTGATTAATTCAATGAATTAATGTAAGTTTATACATGACACTTGTTATCTGAATCGTATAAGTTTATACATGACACTTGTTCTCTAAAGCGTATAAGTTTATACATGACACTTGTTCTCTGAATCGTATAAATTTATACATGACACTTGTTCTCTAAAGCGTATAAGTTTATACATGACACTTGTTCTCTAAAGCGTATAAATTTATACATGACACTTGTTCTCTAAAGCGTATAAATTTATACATGACACTTGTTCTCTGAATCGTATAAATTTATACATGGCACTTCTTCTCTAAAGCGTATAAATTTATTCATGACACTTGTTCTCTGAATCGTATAAATTTATACTTGACACTTGTTCTCTAAAGCGTATAAGTTTATACATAACACTTGTTCTCTGAATCGTATAAATTTATACATGACACTTGTTCTCTGAATCGTATAAATTTATACATGACACTTGTTCTCTAAAGCGTATAAGTTTATACATAACACTTGTTCTCTGAATCGTATAAATTTATACATGTCACTTGTTCTCTAAAGCGTATAAATTTATACATGACACTTGTTCTCTGAATCGTATAGATTTATACGAGACACTTGTTCTCTAAAGCGTATAAGTTTATTCATGACACTTATTCTCTGAATCGTATAAATTTATACATGACACTTGTTATCTGAATCGTATAAGTTTATACATGACACTTGTTCTCTAAAGCGTATAAGTTTATACAAGGCACTTCTTCTCTAAAGCGTATAAGTTTATACATGACACTTGTTCTCTAAAGCGTATAAGTTTATACATGGCACTTCTTCTCTAAATTGTATAAGTTTATACATGACACTTGTTCTCTGAATCGTATAAGTTTTTACCAGACAGGAGATGTACCACTGGTATGAATTTGGCGATCCTACTTCAAAGCTGTGGAAAGTTATTGTGTGTATACAGCTTTGTATGTTAAGTTCAATGACCTTTTAACCTTTGAACTTTGTTGAACACGAGTGACCCATATTCGAACTTGACCCGAGTCTACAAGAGATGTACCACTGGTGTGAATTTGGCAATCCTTGATCAAAACTATGGAAAGTTATTGTGTGTACTATGCTTTTAATAAAAAGTTCATAGACTTTTTGACAGTGCCGTAAAAACTGGAAAACAACAACAACAACTTTTGACCTTTCACCTTTGTCGGATATCGCCCATATTCAAACTTGATCTGAGTCTTCAAGAGATGTACCACTGGTATGAATTTCACGATTCTACTTCAAAGCTGTGGAGAGTTATTGTGTGTACAGCATAAGTACAGCTTTGTATATTAAGTTCATTGACCTTTTGACCTTTGAACTTTGTCGACCATGACCCATATTCGAACTTGACCCGAGTCTACAAGAGATGTACCACTGGTGTGAATTTGGCAATCCTTGATCAAAACTATGGAAAGTTATTGTGTGTACTATGCTTTTAATAAAAAGTTCATAGACTTTTTGACAGTGCCGTAAAAACTGGAAAACAACAACAACAACTTTTGACCTTTCACCTTTGTCGGATATCGCCCATATTCAAACTTGATCTGAGTCTTCAAGAGATGTACCACTGGTATGAATTTCACGATTCTACTTCAAAGCTGTGGAGAGTTATTGTGTGTACAGCATAAGTACAGCTTTGTATATTAAGTTCATTGACCTTTTGACCTTTGAACTTTGTCGACCATGACCCATATTCGAACTTGACCTGAGTCTTCAAGAAATGTACCACTGGTAAGAATTTGGTGATCCTAGCTCGAAGATATAGAAAGTTATTGGGTGTACAACATAATTGTTGACACCGACACCGCCGGTGTAAAAAGTGACGCCTATGCCTGGCTCCTGCTACGCAGGCGAGACAAAAAGGACATGAAACCATTTTAACGGATATCAACCGATGCCAAAAAACGACATCCGTTCCTCAAGTGTGACAGCCGCATGACGGATTAAACAAAAGTACCATCCGTTACTTGTACATTTTCTGATCCGGCCATGTCTGGCAGCGGAATAAGCTTGTAAGTTTTCAATTCAAAATATTACAGTAATATTAAAAAAGATAAAATTACATCTGTTTAAATCATATAGATTGTAAATCTCATGCAACTAAGATTTGTACTAAGGACCCTCTGGTGAAATTAAAAAGCTCCTCCACTTGTGCTTCACAGCCCCCACCCCCAAAAAATATTACTCCAATTTTATTGAAACCAATAGGCCTACTATTTTGCTCAATTATTTGATAGCTAAGGCAATTACAATGGCCCAATTAAGCTAGGATCTACAAAGCTACTGAAAATAGCTACTGTGCTTCTCTCTCAAACCATTCACTGTTTGAAGAGGAAGTTTTTCTCCAGCAGTCAGTGAGAAAGGAGGGAGAATCACAGAACTAGAATCAATAGTCTCAACCCAAAGCTGTTTCCTGCCCTTTTGTCCTTTGACTGGTACCTTTACCTCCTTCCACTTAGAAGTCAAGGTTCCTGTGTACCACTCGATCTGTAGGGACTTGTCTTCATGTACACTGCGAATGCAGCCAACTTGAGGCCAGTGTGTCGAGTACTCTGGGAGATATGTTGCCACCATGTCTCTCTCCCTAACTTCTGTCCTCTGTTCCTTTACTTTGGGTCCTATGTGAACCTAACAAAAAGAAAAAGAAAGTAAAATAAATAAAATAAGAAAGTGAATTGAAAACGAATAGTGTAGTGCCACTACATACATTATCAGTGATTCAAGACAATTCCTTATGTACACTTTATTTACAACATATAAACATATTATTATAGTAATTCTTTCTGAAACCTAATAAATAATTTTCTTTTATAAAATCAGAAAATATTGTTGAAACTTCTACTATTTTTGTATTTTTTGATTTTCAATTAACCCTAAAAGGGCTGTACGTTCACCGGGATATGTTTAAGGATATTTTTTTTTTGTGCCGGGAGCTTTCATGACTTTATAGCATAGAGTCTTGCGCATCTTTTGATGCCAAATATAAAAAGTTTTGACCATCGGGTAACGTGCAAATTGACGATTTTCCCATTGTCTGTGTATTGTAGCAATTCAATGCAGAAATGCAGATGTGCGATACCTACGATTACGTAAATGCAGATAACTACAATTTTTTGAGGTGCTCACATTGATGTTTAAGAAAAAAAAAAAACAAGAAACAACAAAAACAACAAAAATTTGGGAAGACTTTTGCAACTAATGCACAAGCGTATAGCAATCACTAGTACCCAAAGCTAATCTTTACCTGACATGACCTGACCCCAAAATACTCGGCATGACTTGTAATTACTGTAATGACTGGAATTATGCAAGGGCTTACATGTATATATATTAGGGGCTAGATCTTGTGTGAAGACTATACAGAGTGTAAATTCTGTTAGGGAATAATGTTGCACTCAAGATGCAATTAAGCTGAGTGTGTTAGTCATGCAGCATTGTAGATGATTTACATTTTTTTTTTTTAGGAAGCAACTCAAGTTGTAAATAACGATTAAAATACATTTAATACTAAATATGGTTCACAATATCTTTGTCTTAATTAAGGGACATATTAATGAAACATGTACCTGTCTGAATGTTTCATCCTCTGTGTTGCAAGCATGCTCCTCAAGCTGTGGTCTGTCAGTTGGTTGTTTGGCCATTATCAGTAGATCGCATATAGGCCATCTCACTGTTGAATCTTCTGTTAAAACACACAAAGGAAATGTATTATAGCCCTGATGTAAGAAACAGTGTGCTAAAATATCAAAGTTTATGATCAGCCAGCTAGATAGGTTGTTATTACCTTCATCCAGTTATATAAACATATAGTGGCAAATTCTTGGAATAATAATCGTTTTATCTAATGATACTATGACCTAATCTCTTGAAAGGTCATATATATATTTTTTTAAAACCCTATATAGCCCGGGCTATGCAGTGTCAAAGGGGGGGGGGGGGGGGTGCTAATTTAGCCCCCCCCCCCCCCCCGAGATCTCGCCCCTCAACTGCCTGATCGTGATGAAATCGTCACCTGCAACATAATCTCCAAAATCGTATATTAATCTCTCTGAAAAATATTTTGTTTAATCGATTATGCTAATTATGCTAATTTAAGCATGAAATTAGACCTTTTTTGCTCTAAATCACTCAAAACAGCTCGAAATGTGCTGTTCTTTTGATCTAGACACTCTATGTATTATTCTTAACAAGCGTACTTTAAAAAAAAATCCAGTATCAAAATTAAGTTATGTATTTCATTGTTTTTTTAATTTCTCTGTTTTTCGACCTTTTCATTTTTATTGTTTTTTCAATGAAATTTGTTGGCAACACTTATGCGATCATAACTAGCATAAACGAAATAGATTTCAATCTGTGAAAGCAGATATAATAATACATTTAAAAATATTAGCTAATACACAATTTGTATTGAAATTCTACAAGAAACCACGTTTTTGAGCTATTTTGGGTCCGATGTGCAAGTACATGTACAAAATTATGTGTAGCATAGGAACTGCATGCCCGGGCGTTGTTGCGCGAGATGTGAAGGAAAAAAGTCATGAAATTTCAGCGCAGAATGTCTTCGCTTTAAATAGTTATTGTGAAAAATGTTTTAAGGGGGGGCCAAATTAGTCCCCCTTCCCCCCCCCCCCCCCCCCCACCCCCCCCCCCCCCCCCCCCCCCCCCTCATCCAGGCTATAGGGTTAAATCTCGAAAAATAGCAATACCATAATATCTATCTCTAAAAAAAAAAAATTTTAAAGAATGAGTGGAGAAAAACTCAAAAATATCCTCTCAGGTTTATCTATGCTGCTGACTCAGCTGCTCCCTTGTGAGAGGCAATCAAATATCATAAATTGGCGCGTAATTTGCTGGCTCTCTGTAAAACAGCCATTCCTCTTTTTTCTATAGACCACCATCCATTTGATTTGTAGTCAATGGTTATATGCATTAGATAAACCAATATTTTTGTGTCCCACTAGCCTAGTTCGCTATTAAGATTTTTTTGTGAATTGTGCCATGAAGGGGTGTAACAGTCAAGACTTCAATACAAATTGTCAAAGTTTTGGGCCATAAAGCTTGAAGATGCTACATTGTATTTTTCAATGTTTCATAGGTGATGGAAAAAAATACCATAACACCATCAATTTTGGAAGTTTAAAAAATGACAGAAATGATACCTTCATTCTCCTCCTCTTCCAAGGTGAGTAGCTCATAGAGGGACCTCCATGCCTCAATGTCTACTTCTTCCAAGTATGGCTGGAGCTTGTCTGGTAGATGTATGATATTGATGTCCGCAAATGACTTCTCTACCAATGTTGGTTGTCCGTCTGGATGTGATGACAGGATGTGGTTGATGCCAGTGGTGTCTCTCCAATGTGGTGTAGTTGACCAGTCTTTTGTTTGTAGGGTGGCTTTTCCTTGGTGCAGTGCGAATTTGAATATGTGTGGTTTACTGTGATAGCACATGCTGTGTTGATGGGGAAGAAGCCATTTGCGAACATCAAAGAGGTGTAAGATGCGCTCCGCTGTTGTAGGGCAGTGAGCTTTGTGGAAAGCGGCGGGAATAGCTTGCAGAAGTTTTGGAAAAGATGGGGTGCTCCTTTTCTTCAAGTGAGTTGCAATCCTTGAAAAGAACTGGTCGATGTCCTCATGTGTGTGACCGACCATCAAGAAGCCAACTTTGATCTAAATGCAAACAATAAACGTTATAAGGTGAACAACAGTATGGAATAAATTGAATTTTAGGGACATTCCTCAATGATACAACCCAATAAGCATGAGGGATAATTTATTCAATTGAAATTTTTCTTCATTTATCAGAACATTTATCTAACAAAAAACATATTTATCAAAGCTTGTTTTTGTTTACGCTTTACAAATCATATGTACACTGATGACAAAGATGACAACTTTATATTGCCCATGGTTTCTAATGTGCACTACCTCTTTCCCGTTCATAGGGTTCAATCTTTCCGAGAATAATAGGCTACGACCAACAACAAAAAACCCAAAACACTATTTACCATTGGTATACATGTATCTGTGTAAAGTAAATAATTCTAAGTCACAATATCTTTTTTTAACCCTATGATGCCTACACATATCAGACATTTTGGGCAGTAAATGTATTTGATAGATTAAAACAGAGGATCAACTGAAGATATGCAACAATACAATAGTGCAAAATCCCCCATCATAAAAAGTGAGTCAGAAATAATGATTCACCTTGGAAATTTGCCATGGTGAAAATAATTTGTAATCATGAATATTTTCTCTTTTTTTTCACACTCTTTCTGCATCGTTGTTCTCTCCTGCTCACACTACAACTTCGAGAGAGTGGGTTTGACCCACTTTCAAACGCTGTTTCATGAATAGATGCCCAACAGCAATGGTACTGCATGCAGCGGGAAAGTGTACTCTACCAGTACATGTCAAACATTTTTATATTTACATATCCCTTCACAAAATATCATGTACTTTTAAACCCAAGGTTTTGGTGCAATTGGGTTTTTACCAAGTTACTTTAATTTACTGTCAACTGTGAATAGTTTTCTGACAAAAGTGAATATTTATAATGTTTATTCTCAAACAATGGGCAATTTCCGAGGTATATCATTATTTCTGACTCGTCCTTTACATGATTCTGAAAAGAACCTCCAAGACAAAGGCATTCTCTTATCCATCCAATACAAGTTCAAATAAACAAAATTTCCTTTTCATTTTGCGATTAAATAAAGCATCATTACAGACTGAATACTTATATTGACAATTAATTACTAAAAAGAACATGTATTAAACATTACCTTCTTGAAGATATTGAGTTCAAGGAGCAGGGACAGAAAAGAAAAGAGATGTCGATTCTTATTCTCCCTAGAAGTGTTGTCCAGCTGTAGGTAGAGGACTGGTGGAAGAGAGTCGGCATAACGGACCAGGATGTTGAGCAGGATATTAATGGTTAGGTTGCTGTCATGTGGGTACTCGTTAAAATCGATGTAGGCGTGTTGACCTCTTCCATGAACAAGTGCACCGGTGATGTGAGTGTGCAGTTGATCATTGTAGCTCAGAGCTTTAGGTGTTGGATGGAGTTGCGGTATTGATGTGCAGTGCTGATCCATCCCATCGATGATTACACTCATGTATTTCTCTGGCTGTGACTTCGCTTTGCGGATGTGTTTGTAATATTTTTGTCTCTCACTGCTGCTGAAAAGAAGGTAAAGAGCAATGAGGAGTCATGCTATGCTTAGAAGTTTTGATCACAAAACCAATACTAATGCCTTAAATACACGAGTAAATTGTAATTTGAATGTGTTATCTGAGACTTGGCTAGGTTTACGTCTATATCAATGATACTTAATTGTGACCAATATACTTTTTTAAAGTAATGAACTTGTGCCTACATTTCTTCTCCTGTTTTCCCTACTATTGTATTTTTCTTCTACTATAGGCTTTTCACGTCAAATATCCACTGATTAGAACCAAACATCCGTATAGGCAGTTCAAATGCCAATATTTTATTGTGGTCACCTATTCAAATATATTAACATTGTTGTTGTTTTTTTCCATTAAGAATTTCATTACTCTCTTATTGCTAATATTTGTTGTCCAATTTTTTAATTTGTTCTGTTATTTTTCTCCAATTTTGCCGCTTCTATTTAAAGCAACTTATCTTGGAGCCTGAGTATTCCTCTAAGCTTTCTCGGTTTTTGTCTCCTTCAAAATCTTTGTTGAAATATTCACTTCTATGAGGAAAGCATATAATGACATAGCTCTAGTTGTATATTGTAGCTACATGTAAAATACATCCATGGTTGTCATTTGTTGCACTTAAAATACTGGATCACAGATCACCTCATTCTAAATGCTTAAAAGAAAAAAAAGTACATCAAAATCAATTACAACATTAACTTCAAGCTTTAATCAAAGTTTGCTGTACCTTTGTTTCTCTACATGTTTTTGATGTTGTGCAATCAATTGTCTTCGAACATCTTTGTCGTTTGTCTTGCCAAGCTTCATTTTCAGCTCTGTGCACACATCGCACTTAGAGAAGCGGTTCACCTATAAAGAAAAAAAGAAAAATATCAAAGAGAAGGATTGTTAATTACAAAATTAATGTTATGGATGTGTTTTCTTGATGCATATAAATGTAGATGTTATAAGACTAATATAATAATATATTGACACAAAGATACAAGAGGCCTCAGGAATTTAACAGATTTCGTCTGGCTAAGAATCATAAATTCATCTATGTCTAACCCTAACTGTACCGGGGGTATAATTTGCATAAATTAGCATTATTGATAAAATAAGCAAATTTCCGCGAAACTAATGGCAAAATCTCTGCATAATTTTGTGGCGATTGGCCCATTTGGAGTGCATTAAAACTGCAATATGTTTTGTACAAAAAAACTGACCTGAAATCATGATGGGTCATATGACACTATAAAAGAATTGTCTGTTTTTGCAAAAACTTACGGTAGTGTAGTGTCAAAATAAAAAGTAATGAAGTGGCATTGCTGAAAACATGGCGGTTTTGATTATGGTATGCAACAACCTATGTTTAGAGCTTTTGAGCGTCCCGCCCCACTCACTCCCATCCAGTACAGTTTAGGGTCAATGGAATTTACAATACCTTGGGGATTGTGATGTGCTGCTCTTCCTTTCTCCAAATCCTTTTGAAGTGAGTCTCAGAACAAACCTCAGCATTATCTTGTCGTATTCTTCTATACACCTCTCGCTTTGTGAACCCATGTGGAAGGTTTACAGACTCTCTGTCAGGCATTCGGTCTCCATAGGAACGAGCAAATGCATTAAGTTCTGTCTTCGCGTTTAGGGTTTTGTTAATCTTGTGTCCTTTCCTCAAGCAGTTAGCAGGCAATGGGTATAGCAGTCCATCTATTCACAACAAATTAAATGCATGCATGGAAATAACTAGAAATATCGAAAATGGCTGATCACCACAAAACTCGGCATGCGCCTCAGATATTGCGCAAAGGAAGAGACCTTACCTATATTTTTGGCTGAAAATTGCTTACTTTGTCATTTATGCAAATTCTATTCATGAATATGTTTTTTATTATGAATTACATAAATAAATAATAATAATACCAGTCTCTTATAAAGCGCTTTACGAGTTAAGACCAAAGCGCTCACAGCATATTATTGCCCCAGTCATTGGATTCAATTACAAAAAAAAAACAGCATTTACAGTGCACAATCTCCTCTCCCTGGGGAGCATTCCAGCTGGTCACCTATTAGGCGCACACAATGCCAATTCAACTGCATTGCGTTCGCATCCTACAGGGTACCCATTTTAACACCTGGGTAAGGTGAAGCAATGTAGACAAAGTGCCTTGCTCAAGGAACATAAATGCTGTGCTGCTTTTACAGAGTTTATTTTTTGGCAAAAAGTTTCTTAAAAGCCTATTTGACATTATCATATAATTGAATTGTCCATATACTTGTTTTATAATAATAATAATATAATAACGGCCATTTGTACTGCGCCATGTCTGTCAGATTTGACACTGGGCGCCCCATTATGAATTTCTAATGTATTTTACTGTTTTTCAATTCTTATGTATTTTATTGTTTTAGGACTTCTTATACTTAAGATCATTATCTGGATCAATTTACAGTTTGAGTAAATGATAAATCTAGTCTAAAGAATGAAACATTACTGATTCATAGACCCAAACAAGAAACTTCACTTTGCCATTTGTTTGGTAGACAAGATGACAAAAATTTCAATTTTCGGCTTGACCTTTGGTCACAAAAGGTCAGGTAACTCTCTAGCATTCGCATCCTACTGATTTCCAAAAACAGCAAATAGCGGTTACAGCACAATCCCCGAAAATGCAGGGGTGGGCTGATGCCCCCCACCCCCCAGTACAGTAAGTGTTAAAGCTACATAAGAGTAATGAAAGATAATGCAGCTGTCGTACACGAAAACCCCTCACAAAAAGTTCTGCAATTCAAGTTTGAGAAAGGGTATCTCTCGTTGTATTAAATGATTAAATGATACTTCAGTTTGGCACCATTGGAAAGCCTGTTCATTCCCCTAGACAATGATGCCCAATTTTTATAATGTAATCATGGAATATGCAGGACACCTGAATATCTGACCAAGTAGAAAGTCAAATCTTGCAAAATGCATTTTTGTCAACAGTGAATTCTTCATTTGTTTAGAGATAAGATTGTGTTTAATTGATATCAATTCTGATTGAATGCCAATGCAGTATTCTCATATTCTTCTGAAGATGAACTTATTTCAAATGATTTTGAGATATCAAAACAAGAAATTTTACCTATAATTTTGTGAGAGGTTTATATCATACAAATGAGCCAGGAAAAAAGAGTTTTAGCCAAACCAATAAGAATGACCAACAGTCACTCTGTATTTCAAGTTTAACTACCTGCAAGCTTTCTATAAACAAAAAAGGACAATAATACGTTGGATGAATATGGGAGATTCTTTTAGGGTTTATGTACATTTTTTGCCCAGTACATTATGTACAAAGGCCATGAATTTTCAAAGAAACTGTTTTGAAATATGAACCTCACCTCTGAACTGCTTCTGCCAGTAGTAGAATCTTGACCTCACAATTCCAACGACTTGATGCCAGGCTGTGGCACACACCTGCTCCAAACCGATGTTGTAGGAGAATTGGAGACTTTCATTTTCAGACCGAGAAGAGTGGGTTCTGAAGTACTCCATCAGCCATGTCCTCTGATCACCCAGCGACTTTTCCTTAAAAGCGATCCGAGCTGCAGCTGCATCTGCTCGTGTGACTCTTGCCAGACAATCTGTTGAACAACATCTTCCTGCAAGGACAGTTATAAATGTCTGATGACCAGTTCTAACTGCAAAAGGGGAAGTAAAAAACAAAGCAGTTACGTCTCCATTGTTGTAAACAGGCATGAAAGCCTACAAGAATAACCAAATCTTTGTGCGGCATAGCCAGCTTATGTACATGTATGAATGGAATGAAGTAAAATTCTCAAAATTTATTCAAGTTGCAACTTCTGAAGGACTTTACTTGCTTTGAAGTACAATATAATTTGGATCGCCATGCAAAATTGAAATATCCCGTTGTCAAATCCACTTGTTACCATTTACCTACAGAAGTCTTTGGCGATTGCCATGGTAACATTTTCTAAATAATATCATACATGTACTTACATGGTTCATTAAAAAACTGCCGTCTACTATAATAAAGGGCCGTTCTCATAAGAGCAGGTAAACCTCCTCAACATTTGCCCCCGCGGTAAATGAGAAAACGATGCAGTAATAAACCTATCAGACTGTTCACATACGAAGAAGCATCTCCTCCAATCAAAACCTAAGCAATTTTTATTTTGGTTCCTGGAGGCAAAAATATTTGACCAATCACATGCCAGGAAAATGGGATGTTGCATTGTTGCGATGCGTATTGCTCATCTTGATTGCCCGGTTTACACGCCATTTTGGGGGGGTCAATGTGCAAACTTATTTACCGCAGGGGCAAATGTTGGAAAGACCCTTAAGAATTACTTTGTTATATCAGATTGTTTGAGTAAGTACCTCTTTTTTTCTGCTCTTGATCACTGCATGATGATTCCAGTTGAAATGTCACATGTCTTCTCTTTTTTCCTGTGCAATGATATAAAAATGAAGAATGACTTAACTATATCTTGTATAATCATTATCATTATGTTGCAGTATAAATGGATACAAAAATCTTAATTGACTCAACTTAGCTTTTTGCTAAGGGGGGGGGGGGGGGGGGGGGTTGCAGGCGCAGGATTTTGGTAGACCCCGATTAACAAAAAAAATTCAAACCAACACACATAAAAACATGCTTTGTCCAATGGGGGGTAGGGGGGGGGGGGGTAGGGGGGTACGGACGGACAACCCGAAAACATGAGGCAGAGGTGGAGGCATAACAAGTCTTATCTAAAATGTTTGTGGTGAGAAAAAGTGAGCCAAAAATATGAACCGTTTTGGCCAAGATTAACATCAATTTTTGCTAAAATGTGAAGTTTTTTCAAAGAAATTTAGCCTAATTTAGCCCTAATGACATGCCAGTTGGATGAAAGAACAGGGTAAGCTCATTTTTTTAATACCAGATTGGTAACACAAATATTTTTGAAGATATAATATAGATATATTGACTGCTTTGAGATGTGTGTACTAGCTTTTTTTAGGCTAGCAAAAATATCATCAAATATTGACTACTAGCTAAAAAACAACTGGTCAATACTGATCAAATTACAGTCTTTCTACATCATGCCTTGGTTATTATGCTGATTACTCAACAAATACTCTTTTTCTAACAGAATCATTTAAATTGTTCAATGTCTAGCACATACATGTATGGTATTGACACCCATCCCAGGTCATTTCCTGCCCTCAAATAAAATAAAAGGCCCAGTCACAATATGGATAACAATTGACTTGAAATAAGCTCATGGTTCAAAATTTGGTTCATATCCACTTGGTCTACTACCAGTTGGTCTAATTCCCACATCATCTAACACTAACATGGCTAAACCCATTTGGTCTACTATCACTTTGGTCTAATTGCCGTTTGGTCCAATCATCACTTGGACTAATTCCCACTAAGGCTGATTGTCATTTTGTCTAATTATCAAATGGTCTAACTACCATTTTGTCTATAATACTTTTCCCCATTTTGCCAAAAGATCATCTGGTCTATTACCAGTTCATCTAATCAGATAGACTAAGTGGTGTTAGACCAAGAGGGTATTAGACGAAATGGGATAGCCTAACTGGGAATTAGAAGAAATAGGAAATGGATTAAGTGGCAATTAGACCAAATGGTTATTAGACCAACTGGTTATAGACAAAATGGGATATTAGACAATGTGGGATGAGACCAAACGGGCATTAGACAAAGTGAGAGTAGACCAAGTGTCAATTCACCCAAAATTTCATACAGCTTTATTGAACACCAATTACTCATAAGTGATGTTACACTAACCCCTTTTCCTTGGAATATGGCAAGCATCCTCATCTGCATCACTCTCAAGTTCAGTGATAAAGATACCAGGAGTCCAGGGACCTGTAGGAATTCAAATGAAAAGATGTACATGTACATGTATACCACATACGCTTAACATAATACAATGTAGGTAAGGGCATAATACTTGTCTTTTACAGATACATTAAGCCCTGCCATGCTAATTGCTAACCATGCATGGTGTTATTTTTTTCAAAGACAGCAGACAGTCAGCTGTACTTGTGCTGTCCAATACGGATATATAGCAAATGAAGGGGAAAAAAGAATAGACCAGGCAAGCTATGTGACATGCTCACAGGAAACTTTAATGTTAATGTGAATGGAAAGTTGCAATATTTATTATTGACATGCAAATACATGTACGTGTATGATATCTTGTCAGATTTCACCTTTTTTTTTGTAGTTCAAATTGTCTTGGTGTTGTAAAAACATACACATTCCTGAATTAGATAGAATTGAATACTTTTTTAATTATCTTTTTTGTGTAGCAAATAAGAATTTTAGTGAAAATTGTAAGTACAAAATTTTAATCATAGTGTAAACTGTAAAAAATTAGTGGGCCACCTATTCTACACTGACAACAGTAAGGCAGATATATATATATATATATATGTACAATCAGATGCAATAGGAAAATGGTATTCACTTTCATGACCCAATTAAGGCATTGACCAGCACACTTAATCTTGTCTATTGTACTATGTATACTACATGTATGAGCTGAATAGCTACTCATCATAGGGGACATTGCTTTTGTTTTCATTGTTTGGCACTCTTCTTTAGTTTACGGAAAAGTCATTTAAAGGAAGCTTAAATACCAGAACGCAGAATATAAACATGCACACGCAAAGCAAAAGCTCAAATTCTGTCAAATTACAAAATGAAGACAAATCTATAGAACTGTTTTATTCAAATTTGGGGTTTTACTTCAATATAAACGCAGGAATAAAGTCTTCTGCTCTTCAATGATACTTTAAGTCATGTTTAAGTTTTTGAGTTTTTCTTCATTCTTTAAAGTTTGTTCTGCTTTTCCCCAAAACATTGTATGGAATTTTCCCAGAACATACCTGTCTCACAATGTAGATCCTCATCAGCTTCACTCTCAAGCTCTGTCTGGAGACCTAAGTACATTCATAAATATGATATTGCTTAAATGGTTTACATTGTTTGGCACTCTTCTTTTATTTTATATGGAAAGGTCAATGAAAGGATTTAGCTATTCCTAGAAATGAGGGATACATTGTACATGTAGACAACATGACAGACTGTGTAAAAGCTCAATTTCTGTCCATGTTGCACAACATCAAAACAAATCTGTTTACAATTTTGGGAAAAAACAAGCTCTGAAAAAACTAGGAATTGTAATCGTCCAAAACATTACAGCATACATGTATTATGTAACACCACTATGATAATAAATAATAGTATTGTTGTTAATATTATAAATTCAATTCAATTCAATATGCTGTGAATTTAAAATACACTGAACAATAGCTATGAAAGCTGAAGATATTTACACAATTATCACAATGATCTTTGAAAATTCACAGTACATGTAGGCCTACTACTACTGGGTGTTTCCATAACCCGACACCCTAATCCTAAACCTAATCCTAACCCTAGGGTTTAGGGTTAGGGTGTCAGGTTATGGAAAGACCCACTACTACTAGTTCTCATCTATGTCCATTTTGCAAACTTTCGCTGTGCTACATTTGTTTCTGCATTCACTTACAGCACATTATTTAAGAATTCTTTCCCATAATTTACTTACCTGTCATCTGTGTGTTTGGAAGAGCATCATCAGGCTCAGCTGCACTCTCCAACTCTGTCAGTGGATCCAAAACAGCCATGTTTCTTCAGCATGAAGCACTAGATCTTGAACAGCTAGAATACATAAAATAAACCCCAAAGAACTTTATCCGATACTCTATGGGTTACTGGTTAAGGAGTTAGAAGAACTTAACGGGTCTACCCTCGACGCGCGGCACCCAACTCGACTTGGGTGCTAAGTGCGTTTATTCATGTGCGCGCACTCAGTTCCTGCGTATGTACATGTAACTCTATGTTAGCAACCCAATGCACATGCACGTGGTAGACGCAGGCCCAGGTGTTTGGTATATATCTATGGGCAAATGTAAACTGTTTAGTTCTTCTAATTCTTTAACAAGTAACCCATAGAGTGTCCTTAAACTTAAAGATAAACTTTAGTACTGGTAATGCGCTTGCATTGTGAAAGTAGAGGTGTGAAAGGATCAGAAACAGTTGATCATGTAGCATGTAAGTATTGGTGTGCACTGCAAGGTTCTGGAGTCATCAAAATCATAATAAATTTGACCGAGTCTTGGTAAAGTAACAAACACTCACATAGAAAGCTATATATGGGACAACACACATGGTGTCGGGGATGGTACTACCTTGGTTTCCTTGTCTTTCTATGCTCATTACTCAGCCAGTATACATTTTCTTCCAAAATTGTTTGGCACATGTCATTTATTTGTAATCTTGAACATTCAGTGTAAGTTTCGTTTGATTCTGTGAGAATTAATTTTTTTTTTTTACCAGTACTGGAGTTTATCTTTAAATGTATGATCAGAGGGAATAAATCAAAGTTTTACATTTAAACATGAATTAAAAACTCAATTTTTAATAAAAAACATATAAGGCACTACCTGCATAGATCTAGACTAGTCTAGGCTAGACCGAAATATCAGTGTTTATGTTGGCATTGGATGCCCTGAGATTGGATTTTCTTTAAAGTCACAAGAGTTATCTGGTGGGGGGTGGGGGGGTCGGTGCATTTTGGCAATTTCCTTTTATATGGTGTAGTAGTTCAAGTACTGTTGTTGTTTATCATCCATTGTTAGACCCCTTTGCAACTGACTTATCCTGACACTTTTTGTGTCTTTGCACGGTTTGGTGAGCATAATTTTAGGGGACAAATTGCAATGTTCAAGCCTCCTAAATTGGAAAAAAATTACAAAATCCCTTCAGTTTATTGAAAAAATTCACATCAGATCTTGTTACCAAAATGTATCATCAATTGTTCTGTAAACACAAGAGGTAAGTGTCAGTGTCTTTTTGATAAAAAGTTACGCCATTTAGATTAAGGGGGGACATACATATGATGTGTATAGGTCAAGATCTATATACATCTAGCCTACTTGATGTAGTATTATAACTAGATCAACATGTATGTCTAATTTAGTCTTATTACTCTGAAGTATTCTTCTACTAAAAGTTTAAGATTTATAGATCTATTCCACTCATCCACTGTATAAGGTTATAACCTAGACATGTATCTGAAGATACTTCGTCTAGTTATAACCTTGTACTCTTTTACTAATATGGGTATGGTAAGGCGTAAAGTTATAGATCTAACCACTCATCCACTATATGAGGTTATAACCTAGACATGTATCTGAAGACAGATACCTCGGTCTAGTTATAACCTTGTACTCTTTTGCCAATATGGGTATGGTAAGGCAGGCCTGTAAATGGGATTTTTCAGGGGGGGGGGGTGCGTAAGTTGATAAAACGGACCTTTGATACAAAATAACTGTTTGCAGAGGCAGATCCAACATTAACCATTTTTTCTTCAGAGTGACCTGAAAGCAAGGCATTTTAAGTGCCTCCTTTTAATCCTCATGAACAGGGAATGTATCTCCTTAAACAAATAATGCGAGTGCAAATCGTGAGTGGAAATTTTCATAAAGTGACCTGAAGTCAAGTAGGCTAATCATTGCACTTTTTGAGTTTAAATTTTCCATGAACATACATGTATAATACCCCTCCCTTCTCTTAATCAATCATGCGAGCGCAAAACACGAGGTCATTTTTTTATATTTAAAGCAACCTGAACACAGGGAATTTTAGGCTCATGCACTCCTCTAAATCCTGATGAGCAGGATATGTATTTCCTATAAAAAGGGGGCCAAAAGCCAAAACGCAAAGGCATACTGTGTGCAAAAAGAAGCATTTTCACATTTCATATGATCCCTGAATCACCTCTTTAAATATTTCCATACATGTAAAGGTGTAAACCAAATATTACGCTAGCATTCAAAGCCATTTTGGTATGCCCTGGGCGGCACCATGATGATTCCATTCCCCCCAATTTTTGACGTACATGTATTTATGGACAAACCCTTACTGGTCTTTCACAATCATAAACGAACTGTTTGTGTAGTATATTAAATTAAAAGAAATGTGCAGTGTTAGAAACCTCTTGCATTGCATTTATATATTTAATATGTAAAATCCCTTTCAAAATAAAATTCTAGCAACGGTTCATCCCGAAAACTGCATGAAAATCATGACATTAACTGTTTAATCAGAACGAGGATGTTAGCAAGCTTTGTAGATCTTAATTTATCCACATACATGTAATTGTTGAAGAACTTTTTTTTCACAGTACTCCCGTTGTGTTAGATCAGCTGTACGATCTGCATAATGAATGAAAAAGAAGTCTAGTCATTCATATGCTGGTATGCAGCCAATCTTACACAATGGGAGTTACAAGCTTCCTAACAATATAACTGTTATTCTATCGCAATGTTAAACCTAAAATTTGAGTAAAACAAATAATGTTTCTATCATTATATTATTTTTATGTATTTGTATAGCGTATTTTATATCAAAATTGTATCTAGATCTAATTAATTTTAAAGGTAATATGGAATGTTATCAAAGTCCAAATATACGTCACAGACTTGCATGTAGGGGGTCTCACTACAGATCATAAACATGCCAGCACCCTTGATAGCAGACGACATCGCAAATGCCTATTTTTCAAAATATTTGCCAGTTTGATGTGGGGTACTCAGTGGGCGTTTTTTGGTGATCTATGTATCAAAGGAAAGCTTGTGGTAAAAATTATATATTATAATTGATGAAATTCTAGTTTTGGTTTCATTTAAACAAATAATGCGAGCGGAAATTTTTTCATATAGATCTAGTTACCTGAAAACAGGGCATTTTAAGCGCTTTTTATAATCCTCATTAACAGGATCCTGTTAATCCTCCCCTGATAAATGGTCCACATTAATTACAATAGGTTCTTTTAACTCTTTATGCGCCACTTAAAAAACCCCCTGTGCCACATTCTTTAGGGTCACACATTTCGAGGGAATCTTTATGACTCTGCTGAATCAAGAGGCTATAACTCTTCACTGGATGATCATGATGAAAAATATTGTGCAGCAAAGTTGTAGACCGGAAAACGTGCTTTTCGATGAACCGTCATTTGTTATATTTTGAATTATCATTTTATAATAATCATAATTATATAATGTTTAATTTTTCTTATTTACGGCAGTTTTTTATCCTCTAGAATTTCTTATTTAGCAATGATAAGACATCTTCAAATCGAATCTATTAGAAAGGTGGACTTCTTACCTTTCTTTACATACCTTGCTCAAGTATTCTAACAATTCAGAAGGTTAGTATTTAGGTTGTTGAAGAAAAGAAGTTCAATAGGGAGAGACTTGAAAGTACCCCGCTCAGCCACCCTTGACAATGGGCTAATCTGCCCATTGAAATCCCTATTACCCCAGGTTATTGTCAATGTCCGGTTTAGCGGGGCATGAAAAGGGACGTCGTGGGGATGTTTTCTTTGTTGTGCCATGATAAGTCAATAAGAAATAAGAGAATGTTATTGATTTTGCCCACTGGTATGAGCATGTAAAAATGGTATAGGCATAATATATTATATGTGATATACATGACATAATCAGCATCTTATTGAAATGTCTCATTATGAATGTTCACCGCATCTGTTCTCTCACCTTCTTTACCCCTCAATAAAATTGATTTCAAGTACATTTATCACAGCCATAGATATACAAAGAAAGAATGAATCAATCTTAAAATATAAACTATATGCATTGTTTTCCATTTACTTTATTGTGAGAGAGCTTATTATCAGAAATGATTGACGAGTGGAGTATGCAATGAATAAAATATGGAGAACGGACGTGAGAGACATTATGAGAGAGAAATAGTGATATGAAATGAAAGGACTTTACTGTGAATAAAGATTATAAGAGAAAGAGATAAAGATGACGGCAAGACAGGATACATATTGATACGAAAATAACAATAATAATGAGATAGAGATGACGGAAAGAAAGAGAGTAAACACTGATAGCATAAGAATGAATAAAGATAATAAGAGAAAGATATAGAGATGACGGCAAGACATAGGGTACATATAGATAGGAAAATGATAATAATAATAAGATAGAGATGACGGAAAGAAAGAGAGTAAACACTGATAGCATAAGAATGAATAAAGATAATAAGAGAAAGATATAGAGATGACGGCAAGACATAGGGTACATATAGATAGGAAAATGATATAATAAAAAAGATAGAGATGACGGAAAGAAAGAGAGTAAACACTGATAGCACAAGAATGAATAAAGATAATAAGAGAAATATATAGAGATGACGGCAAGACATAGGATACATATTGATAGGAAAATAATAATAATAATAAGATAGAGATGACGGCAAGAAAGAGAGTAAACACTGATAGCATAAGAATGAATAAAGATAATAAGAGAAAGATATACAAGATGACGGCAAGACATAGGGTACATATAGATAGGAAAATGATAAATAATAAGATAGAGATGACGGCAAGAAAGAGAGTAAACACTGATAGCATAAGAATGAAAAGATAATAAGAGAAAGATATAGAGATGACGGCAAGACATAGGGTACATAATTATAGATAGGAAAATGATAATAATAATAAGATAGAGATGACGGAAAGAAAGAGAGTAAACACTGATAGCATAAGAATGAATAAAGATAATAAGAGAAAGATATAGAGATGACGGCAAGACATAGGGTACATATAGATAGGAAAATGATAATAATAATGAGATAGAGATGACGGCAAGAAGAGGAGTATACACTCATAGCATAATAATGAATAAAGATAATAGAAAAGAGAATACAGAGACGGCAAGACATAGGGTACTATAGATAGGCAAAATGATAATAATAATAAGATAGAGATGACGGAAAGAAAGAGAAGTAAACACTGATAGATAAGAATGAATAAAGATAATAAAAGAAAGATCTAAAGAGACGGAAGACAGGATACATCTTTCTTTCATTAGTTTATTCAGTCGTTTCTACAACCGTCTACTCCTTTTGCTGTCATCTCTAGCTCTTTCATTAATTGT